CGGCAAAGAAGAAATATTACTGGGGAAGGATTGATTTTGCTTCAGGACACACAGTCCTGTGTCACACGATCTACTGTCAGTTAATATCTTACTTAAATATTACGAACACAGATAAAATATTATGCGACATTGTTCAGAATAAGACCATTCACATTACTATTAAACATTGTCATCAAGAGATTTGGTTACTTCTAAGAAAAATGGTGTCCACTGTAAAAGTGAGACCTTTGTCTAGTCATTTCAACATCAAGGTATTTTAAAGTAGCGTATCCAGGTCACTGGATAGTGAGAAAGGACAAATACAGGATTTCATAATGAGCTGACATTGGTTAGAGAACCACTGGAAACCCTGGGAGTACTGGACAGCTTTTTTGTTCTAGTTTGGGACTCTTCATCAGTAAGCACCCACTGCAGGGGTTCGAAACCAGGGCCTTCTGGTTATAAGACACCGGGACCCATTAATTCAACCAAATCCCTACAGACCAAATTCTTGAATATCAATGAGATGCTCACCAGTGACTAGCCCTATTCAGCTAGATAGTTACCCGGGGTTCTAGCGGGAAGTCCTGACCATTAGCGTGTAGCAGGTTGGGTGTGAGGACAAATACTGACCGAAGACGTCGGCTAGTTGTTGCGCTATATCGTGAATTGGCAGAAGGTACAATTTATGGCCTAATCATTGGACCGGGTCCCAGAGGCTATTGAATGGTCTACAAGCTAACCCTGTAATCAGAAGGTCCTGGGTTCAAAGCATGGCTGTGGTTGCTTATTGATGAAAAGTACCAAACTAGTAGGACAAAACAGCTGCCCATTACTCCCAGGTGAGTTTCCAATAGTTCTGTAACCGATGTCAGCTCATGATGAAATCCTGTAACCAATCAGCCAAATCCCTACAAATCAATACTTGAAAATACGAATACGTTGAAATGACTCATGATAATATTTGAGAAGATCCGAATTTTCTCATGGATGTTTTATGTCTAGTGTCATATTGAACTCAAAATCTTGCAAGTAAAGACCAAACAAACTGACAGGAGAGAAGAAGAAGAGGCGAAATCAGGACTCTATATGAATACGTAGAAGACTAAGTTGATGAATAAACCCAATCGCCAAAGACATTGGGAGAAATTTCAGAGCAGTCGCTATCTTCACTTATCTAGCAGGCGTCGTATCAATCACACAGACAGTCGAAATTCACGAGGATATTAAAAGTAAGATCTGAAAGTGAAAGAATAACTTCACCACTCTGAAACTACATTCTCAGCGTTTACATCATGAAGCCATTTCAAATAGCTCAATTTCTGGCGGTCTCTTTACTGAAGATCAAATGGCTGACTGGTCAGAAAGAATAAGCAACGAGGTGATCTTGGAATGAACCAATCACAGATCTCCTATTGCTCAAGAAATATGCCGAGTTAAGTGTAGACGACCCGTACTCAGGATCTACTTTCAATTAATAATATTTAATTTGGAGATCCTGTACGAAGAGAAAATATCATGCAATAAACCTCACTGGAAATTCTGTATATTCTTTAAACACTGTTCAGAATAGAGTCACTACTTCTATTATTACTACTACCAATAGTATGATTATTAATAAAGGATCCTTTGGAATCAACGTAACAAAACAATTTAGTTTATCTAATACCATGCTGGAATAATTGTCAGGTCAAATAATTCATGGGTCAAAGTAGTGGAACGGAGTCAGCCAGACTAGCAGGGTACAAAAACCTAGCAAAAATCTAGATTAGGTGACCCCAATAAGATAAGAAATCTGGAGAATAGTTCAGTTATGTAGCACGACTTCACCATCAACAGGAGGAATTTGAAAGAGGTTACTTCATTCACTTATCTAGGGAGGGAGCATTGTCTCAACTACATGAGGAACGGATGAGAATATCAATCAAATCAAGGAAGAATCAGGAAGGCGAGAAACACATTCACTCATCAAGCTGAAACCAGTCTGGAAATCTTCGTCACTCAGCCAGCATCAACAACAAAATTCGGTCGAATTTTCAATACAAACAACGTCAAGTCAGTCAATCAGTTGTTCTATACGGATGAGAAACTTGGCGGGCGAGTCACAAAGAATATTTCCAACAGCCTGTTGCAGACCTTTATCAACCAGCAACTGTCAACTATCACTCTATACTCAAGATCAGATGGTGGGGCCGGAAAGTATCACCAACAACAAACTATGGGAACAAACAAACAAAACAAGAACCAATCGCAAACCAACAAATATGCAGGCGAAAATGGAGATGGATGGAGATTGGACACTTGCTGAGGAGGCCGCTGGGTGACATTGCGTGAGCGTCAGGCCATCACTTGAGTGGAACCCGTAAGGGAAGTGGAGAGTGGGATGTCGGTGTAAGGGTGACATGGAGGAGATCGTGTGAAGAGGAGTTGAAAGAGTATGGACTAACTAGCATGCATGCAGGTGAAAAGTACAGCAGAAGGAAGACAGAAGTGGCAAGTGAAGACGTGCATTTGAAGCCGTATGTTCCACTAGGAACCTAAGGGAACAATAATAACAATAATTAATGTAACACTACATGCAATTATACACACACACACAATAGAATAGGGCGAGATAAGATGACACTTCTAAAATTTAATGTAACAGGGTGAAGGGGGAGAATGAGATATCAGAAGCCTTATTTATCTATTCAGTGGACAGTACGTGTAGTAGGAGTGATTCAACACCTATCCACCCGGACATCTAGACAAAATTCTACACTATATCTACGACCAATGGGAAGAAGTAACGAAAACCAAAAACAGGAAGTTTTTGGAGTTGTGTAAGCACGATCAGAGATGTGATTAAGAACAAGAAGAAATTGTGTTCGTAATTTTGTTAATCGGTTTTAATGGGGACATTACTGGTTGACTGTTTTATGAAAAAGCTTAAAAACTCTCAACTTAGTTAAACCATAGGTCACTTTGACATTTATGGAAAATACGTAGACGACACTTTCGTTATCTACAATAAGAACGTCATTCTTGATAATGTCTTGTTTGCATTGCACAACTGTCATCTTTTTTTACAATTCCCTATAGAAAAGGAATGTGAAATAAGCATTCTGCTACTTGATGTGTGTATTAGTTGACGTAATGACGGATCTCTCAAGAGATCCATCCACCGGAATCGTGCATGGGATGGACAACTAAATAATTTTTATAGTTGGTTGCGTATAATCAGGAAAAGGAACCACTAGCCTCAAGTATTTCTCCATCTCTGTAAAAGGTAAGCTCTCCTGTCTATCTATCAATCAGTTCACCTGCTTTTGTGGAGCAAGATAAATTGGCCGGAACTAGGTAACGCTGCTTTCCACACGGATAAGAGATAATATTCCAGCAGCATGGTTTTACAAAGGAGAAAGGAAGTGTGTGAAAAGGTCTATTCTAGAATACCTGATCGACTCCTTTCACTCCGCCAACTCTGAAAATGATTTCAGGATCATCTACTAAATCTATGCTAACTTGACGCATTTTCTTCATTACAGACTTCTAAAGACAGTAGAGGCCTTGGCCATTCATGACTTTAAGGCAGCCAAACATTTGTGTTCAAAAGAGGTATGTGCAATCCCTACTTCTGCCTTGGCTGTAGAGGGATAGACACTTATTTATTTATTGTGTTTATTGAGATAATCTATGTACCTTTTTTCATTACTGCGATTATCATTAATAATATTCCCACATTGAATTGTTTCCGCCCTCCCATTTGTCATCCAAATTTTGTTTATAATATTGAATTCTATCTTAGCAAATTTTATACACCATGTTATGTAACATTTTATATTCGCCTACTAATCCTATAATTATACATCCCTTTCCAACATCTATACACCTTATGTATTATTCTTTATATGACATTAAACATTTTGCCACTTGACATTTAACTATGATTATAATCACAAAAATTTTACGAATATTGTATTTGTAGAGATTTAGTTTTGATTATTATTTTTTTATTTTCCTTCATGTTCCCAGTGGAACATCGGGCTTCAGGCTATTTTGATTGGATGGAGGATTTCATCAGGAGCTGACATCAGTTAGAAAATCACTGAAAAAAATAGGAGTACTGGGCAGCCGTTCCGTCCTAGCTTAGGACTCTTCATCAGTACGCATCCATTGGGGTTTGAACCTAGGACCTTCTGGTTACAAGGTGAGCTCGCGGACCATTAAGTCATTGGTACTCAATCCATTTACCCATGAATTCTAACATCTGCCAATTCACGACATAGCGCAATCATTTCTTAATGTATTCTTTGATGAGTTACCGCCTCATTTTGACCTGTTGTAGCCTACTGGTCATGGCGTCCCACTAGAAGCCCAGAAAACTGTCTGAATAGGGCCAGTCCCCAGTGAGCATCAGATCTGGTCCTAGTGGCTCAATGGTCAACGAGCTCGACTTGTAACCAGAGGTTCCTGGGTTCGAAAGTCAGTGGGTGCGTACTGATGAAGAGTCCTAATCTAAGACGAGACAGAGGTACAGTACTCTCAGGTTCTCCAGTGGTTCTCTAACTGATGTCAGCTCATCATAACAAATATTTTAATTACATTTCATGCTATTATTTCATGTATTCACACCTTTGACCTGATTCTCTCACCGGATATAATTTCCAAAAATAAAACCATATATATATAGTTATATACTATTGTAGAGCTTGATAATAAACTCTTTGTTGAAAAGAGTCTCTTCGCTGAATATTTTGTTCTTAAAGCTACAATTAGAATGATTAAATAATTTGACCAATAAATGGAGTGCTATTGAATCGCAAACTATCACATTTGTTAAACAGACTCCGCAGAAAGTGGTGTCACAACAGTAAATAAGGGCTGCTTAAACTCAAAAGAGAGAGAGAGAGAGTGATCCTTTCTAGTGTGTCTACTAGAATACATTGACTTTGGTTTTCAGGTGTCGATAAAAAAATCGATAAATCAATAAATCCCATCGAATTATTACACGTATATATGTACAGGTATATATAACTTACCTCTAACCATGTAGCTAATGGCATAACCAATATAGCTAAACTGATATCAGCAATAGCTAAGCTGACAATAAACCAATTTGTTGCATTTCTCAATGAACGTTCTCGTATCACACTGAGTACAACTAGAGAATTTCCAAACAAGGTGGCTATCGAAAATATCATTAGGCATAGACACCAATAACGTCGATCTAAGTGTAATAAATGATCATTTAACGTGGTATTATTTCTTGTGTCATTGTCAAAAGTATTATTAGTAATTGTAGTATTAATGTTAGTTGTAACGGGGTTAGTACCCCTCATTGACATGAATAAATCAGTTGAAATTGAAATATTTATACTTCTTCCCTCAGAATGGTGTTATGAATGTTCGCTTGGACAAATAATGTAATGTAATAAGGTATGCACCTTTGATTTTAAATGAATCCTTTTTTCACATAATATCCAAACAAATTGTTCAATGCAACTTTGAGCATTACTCACATGATAATTTGATTTAATCCGTTTTTATCATAGAAATTGTTAAGATGTAATTAATAGGAGAATGATTCATTATAATTATTAGTAAAATTACTACATGTTTTGTTTTTTATTTTTTTGCATAATTTCAAGAGTCTAACGAGTTGGAAATATCAAAATACATATTTTTTAAAAACTTTTCTTAATTTCTGCCTTCTGATTGGTCAAGACATTTCAACCAATTAGAATATTGGATTATATATAATATTAACAAACCAATTAGAATGCTGGATTTTTGAAGAGATTTCTTTTCGGCTTAGATAACGTGTATATCAATAAATTATATAATTGAGTGAATAGGATGAATGTTTTCCGTTTCACAAATGCTTTTTATGATGAAACTTTATGTAAACATACAAAAAAGTTTAAAGCAATTGGTTCCCTTTATGAATTTCGACAAAACAATAAGAAGACGTAGTTTATCTGAAACGTATAATGTATTGGCGCAACACATTTCGGACATTCTGATCACACACGTACTTGTCATACACAGTTTTTATATAAGGCAAGAAAGCATGAATAATTACAATACAGGTCAGATTGTGTACAGGTCAAGGTCACAAAATAATGGGTAGGGAGACGCAAAAGGTGTGGGTAAGAAAGATAAAGGGAGGAAAAAAAGGCAAAGAATGGGTTTGAAAATATTATGAAGTAAAATTGGTCCTTGGTTCTAAGTTGGATTACCAAGGCAGGTTTAAGGTGATAACAAATAACTTTTGGACGCATAAGACAGGTTTAAGTCTTTTAATGGCTAAGGCTTCAATGAATTTAAGTATGTGACCCAACCTTGTCTTATATATCGGCTTAAAGGCATTATTAAAATCAACCTTATGACCCGTCTCTATAATATGCTTCGCTATAGATGATGTTGGACATCTATTTCCCGGGTCAATTGTATCTGGCGATTTCATTTGTTGTTGCAGCCACTTTGGAATGTGTTCTGTAGCCCTAACATGCAGAGACCGATGGGTCCTCCCTATGTACGTGTCTCCACACATACATGTAAATTGATAAACACAGTGGGATGTGACACTATCGTTCGGATAATGTGAGGGTTTACAGGACAGCATAGTTTTCGTTTTCTCTATGAAGATAAGTTTAGCTGCATAATAGGTTCTACTAATTGCGGCCTTTAGTCTTTGTCTAGTGACTAGACTTTGTTGATCACCTCTGAACGGCAAGGATATGTAAACATCCTTTTTGGGAACTGATTGGATTGGTAAAGCTGTGTGGTTGACACTTCCATAACGTCTAATAAATCTCAGTGGGTAATTGTTATCTAACAATATTTCAGTGAGATGTTGTCTTTCTTCTTCAATTGTATCGGCGGTACATATACGGTGAACGCGCTTGAACAAACACTTAACCAACGCCTTTTTATACTGTAGTGGACAGAAACTATAGTAATTTAGATACTGTCCAGTCCATGTTGACTTCCTGTAGACAGATCGTTTTATTGACCCATCTTCTCTGCGGGTTATGAGTACATCTAAAAATGGCAGGCATCCATTATTCTCTTTAACATAAGTTAGCGATATACTATTTTGTGCTCTGTTGACCTGGTTTAGGATTTCTATGGCGTCGATCGGTTGATCACAAATGACAATTATGTCATCTACATATCTTTTATAGAAATACACTTTTCCAATTTCTTTCTCCACTAGGTTCTCAACATGCGACATATATATGTCAGCTAACAATGGACCTAGGGGGCTTCCCATAGCAACACCATCGATCTGGCGATAATGCTCGCCCTCGAATGTAAACTTAACATTTTTAGTACAGAGAAGCAGTAACTCTTTTAAGTATTGTAATTATTCATGCTTTCTTGCCTTATATAAAAAACTGTGTATGACAAGTACGTGTGTGATCAGAATGTTCGAAATGTGTTGCGCCAATACATTACACGTTTCAGATATACTACGTCTTCTTATTGTTTTGTCGAAATACAAAAAAATGACCCGTTGAAGTGATGAAATTGTGATTACAATGAAGAATTGAATAAGACCTAGGAAGTCTTCTCTGAATTGTTCTATCACTTTTGGACATATACGATATTTGTCTGAAAACAAAAGTCTAGAATAATATATTCTTAATTGTAGTGGAGTTGGTTAGCCAGAGAACAAGACTTCTCGAAGTACGATTTATCTTGCATATCACGTGAATTCAAAGACTTACAGGGGAAAACCAACAAAGTGACAGAAGAAGCAGCCGGTGTAGACGGGACTTCAAAACAACAGCTATGCTAGAAAGAGGCACAAAATACTTTCAACAGGAGAAATTTGAAAGAGGTCGCTTCGGCCAAGTTAAACTTTAAGCACCACTAATTAACTACCAATGGAGTGCGACCGCACCAATGACCTTGAAACGCTTACTAAGCAGGTTAGTGAAACACGACAAATAATGTTGTCATCATCAATAAAATATGCTCATCGAAGTGTTATGCTACTAAATGGGATATCTCGCAATTTTCAAATTGGGTTTAGGGATAATTAAGTCACGGTTTAAGCGAAGGACAGTTTAGGGTTGGGTTAACCTAATCAAGGCAACATTAAGGTTCGTTCGAGTAAGATTACAGTTAGTTAAAGGATATTTTCACGTCAGGGTTAGGTTCAGGAAAGATTAGGGTTATTGTTAGGGTTAGATAGGCCTAAATAATTAAATGAATAGAATGTGGTTAAATTACTCTGTCGATATAAAAATAGGACTTGTGCACCTCCAATGTCCGGTCGGTCCTTCTATATGAGTCAGAAACTTAACATGTCACAAGAAGGCTGTCCAGACGGGTTCGCAAAATTTTTTTACACAACTGCCCCACGCCCGCACTTCACAGGCTTCATGCTGAAGATCAAATGGCTGCAAAGAATTAGCAGCAAGAAACCATAGAAGTTGACAAGCCAACGAACAGTGGATCGCTCAACAAAAAGGTGGGATAAATTGCAGATGGATCAGGTATACATTGAGGAAACCGTCAAATGATATCTCATCGAATGCAGGCGATCGATCGATCGATTGAAACATGAACGGTAAGTGACGAGTGGGTCGTCCTAAGGTGACACCGTGGAGGTCATGTAACAAGGATATAAGAGATTATGGGCGATCGTGGAGCTAGGCAGATGAAGAAACCAACAGAAAATAGGAGAAAGTGATGTCTTGCTGAAGCGCTATCTATATTCAACTCAGAATCCAGGGGAATAATAGTAATATAAGTCTCAAATAATCCGTGACATTCAGATGTTCTAGAGTATTATTATCCTCAATCCAACGTATTACTGTCTTCTCAATCCCTGTGCACATTCTAACAGCATAATCCAGTCCGCCAAAATTAGAAATATCATAATGAGTGTTAGTGGGCAGACAGTCCTGTCTTACTCATGTGTACACTTCAATGACTTCATTGCTGAGTTTTCGTCTTGTAGATCACTTGACTCGTTGTATGTGTCTAAACTAAGTTCACTTTTAACAGTTTGGAGAAATTTAGGCATCGGGTATATGATATTCATTATAATAAAAGTTTTTGTATTTCCCAATGAATGAAAAACAAAACGATATCGCTATTTAATGCTGCTGCTAATAGCTTAATCAAAGGATTACTCTATCAAAGCATAAATGTAACTTCTATAATCATCGTACTTTCTGAATATATTTCCAGTCTACTGGAATCAGATACAACTCCATCACAAAGATATCCGCTGGACACTAGTGAAATAATTAAGAGCTTGAAATTCTGTCTAGATAGTAATTATTTTACATTTAAAGGGAGTTTATATAGACAAACAAATGGTGTTGCTATGGGTCCCCCAGTCTCCTCAATAGTCGCAACTCACTCCCAAAATATAGTTAAGATATGTACTGGATACTTTTGTAGTGCTAAAACGAGATCTACACAATTCATTTCTGGAGAAAATAAACAATGTATCTCCCAAAAATCCAGTTCACTTCGGAAGCAGAATCAGACATCGGTGAACTTCCATTTCTAGACTGCCTAGTTAAGAGAAAGGAAAACGGGCATTTTAGAATATCCATATTCAGGAAGAAAACCCACTCCAATAAATATTTAGACTTCAAATCATCACACCCCATCAGCGCAAAGATTTCAGATGTTTCACGTCTTCTTAGACGAGCACACTCTCTAATTATGGATGAGCAAGAAAAAGAAGAAGAAATATCAAACATTACTGAAACCCTCAAGAAAAACAACTACCCAAGGAACTTCATCAACAAAATCAACACAGACATTAAGTATGGCTGAAAACGCATTCCGAAAACAGGGATCTCAACAGTCGTCATTCCATATAGAGCAAAGGTGTCAGGCGATATCAGAAGAGTACTCAAACAGCTCGACATTAGAGTTTTCTTCAAAACATCAGACACACTGCGAAACAGTCTTGTCCATATAAAAGACCAAATCCCTAAAGATTCTCTATCTAATTCTGTCTATAAAATAAAATGCTTGGAATGTGATGTGATCTACATCGGACAGACATCTCGAGAAATCAAAATCAGAAGAAATGAACACCGTAGAGCATCTCGGCGATCACCGAGAAATCCAGTTGAACTAGAAAAGCTTGAAAAATCATCAGCCATAGGTCTTCACGCCACAGAAACAGGCCACAAAATTGATTTTGGCAATATTGACATCATCATCCAGAAATAGCATTTCAGAACGTCTAACATCATCAGAAGCACTTCATATCAAGTGGCATCCAAATTGCCTGAACTGAATAGGAATGATGGACTGAAACCGAATCTGTCCTGGTTACAACAACCTCCTCCCCAATGAAGTGACAAAATCAACACGAATTTGATAAGCAAGATCACTATGTAAACGCACACTGCTTTTATAATTTTACACACTGATCAAATCCAACAATCTACACCTACCTGGTTTTGTTATCTTTACAGATTGACCAACTTGACAACGAAAAATGACCCCAGACTAACGAACGATGATCAAGTTAGTAAACTTTGTTTTGATATCATGACAGATGTACTATTATCTTTGATATTTGGTTTAGTGATCTTCATTGTTATTCTGACTTTCAATATGTCCCCTTTAACTTGACCTAACTCGGCTATTTCCTCACCTCTTAACTC